ATCTCCCGGGAATCTAACCCGTAGTCCCAAAGTAAATATGTAGGGGGATCTCCCGGCAATCTAACCCGTAGTCCTAAAGTAAATATGCAGGGGATCTCCCGGGAATCTAACCCGTAGTCCCAAAGTAAATATGCAGGCAGGGGATCTCCCGGGAATCTAACCCGTAATCCCAAAGTAAATATGCAGGGGGATCTCCCGGGAATCTAACCCGTAGTCCCAAAGTAAATATGCAACCACAATCAGAGAATATTCAGAAGTGAAGTACATCAATACAACAACAGCTCCAAATATCAAATAATTACCAAACTCATGGCAAATAATAGTAGATTCTAGCCTAATATGCTTCATAGAGTGCAAACAAGGCAGTTTAAGCAAATAGGCAAGTAAGTCCACTAAACATGCTTTTCTATACTAGCACAGGCTATAATAGCAAGTAGGATAAAGCAAATACGAAAGAAACTCAACTCAAGTATTTTTAAGTAAAATTCGGATTTTCAACAATTAGCTCAAGTACGCGCTCGTCACCTCACGTACAAGGCATTCAATTACCAATTTCATATCTTAAGGGACAAAGTCCCCCACACAAGGTTAGACAAGCCACTTACCTCGAACCGGCTCAAAATTCAATCCAAAATCACGTTCTTGCCACGAGTATTTGACTCCAAATGGCTCAAATCTATTCAATTAAGTTGCATAATGTAAATAATAATTCAAGTAATTGATTCTACAATTAAATTCTAAGCTAATACGCGAAATTATGTAAAATGACCAAAATACCCCTCGGACCCCACGTCTCGGAACCGAGTAAAATTTATTTTTCCAGAAACCTCGTACTCTCACGAGTCTAACCATACCAAATTTATAAAATTCCCATATCATTTCGACCCTCAAATCATTGATTCTATCCAAGAACGGGTTTTTCAACCCTTTTCAACAAAATTTCTCAGATTAAACGTCAAAACTCGTAATAGATTCAAGTTATACAACCAAAATTGAGTTAAGAACACTTACCCCATTTTATATGGTAAAAATCGCTTCGAAAATCGCTTCAATCCGAGCTCCATAGCTCCAAAAATAAGAAAAATAGCGGACTGCTCGAAATATACACTGTCTGTGATTTTCGCATCTGCGGTTACTGTTCACCGCAGGTGCGATTTTACTGTTCACCGCTTCTGCGGTACTGTTCACCGCAGAAGCAAAAACACTGTTCATCCGCTTTTGCGGTTACTGTTCATCGCAGAAGCGGAAATACCAGTTTTGCCCCAGAAAATTGCAACAGCTTTTTATTTCACTAAAAATGCTATAACTCCATCATACGAACTCGGAATTCGACGATTCTTGTTCCTATGAGTCACAAATAATAATACGAACCTATTCCTTCAATCGAAACACAATTTGGTGCTCATTTTCTCAGTTCAATAACCATTTCGCTCGTTAAATAATTAATTCATGTTTCGTGTCAAAAACCCAATCGCGACTTGATGAAATTAGACCAAACTTTCCAGATCAGTCCTATAATTCATGATTTAAATTCTGGAAGTCTCGAAATTAAATTTCGATCTCTAGAACTAAAAATGGACCTTTGGATCATTACATGTTTGTGCTCAAAACAACAAAAAATCTTCCAAAAATGACCCGTTGGGCATCCGAAACACACCCGAGGCCCCCGGGACCTCATCCAAAAGTTCCAACATATCCTATAACGTTATTCAAACTTGTTCCAACTATCAAAACACCTCGACTAACACCCAAATCATCAAATTACATCGAATTCAAGCCTAAGTTCTTTTAAAACTTCAAAAATACACATTCGATCAAAAACCCGACCAAAACAT